TAATTGTATGTGCTGGTCGAGGCTAGGGTTTTGGGTTCGCGAGGCGCCAGGCTTTTGGTTCCAGGTTTAGGGGTTTAGGGTTTAGGATTTAGGGTTTAGGATTCAGGGTTTCGGGTTTAGGATTCAGGGTTTTGAGTTTAGGGTTTGGGGCTTCCGGCTGAAGATTGAAAAGATTTAGGGGTGTAGGAGCTTTAAATAAAAACTTGAGGAGTTTGGGGATTTCAGGTTTTTGGGAGTTCAGGATTGCCATTCCAGGTTTTAGGATTATGGCTTTGGCTAGGGGTTAGCTACATTCCTTCCCATCAGAGTCCAATGCCTGTGTGCTCTCTGAACACTCAATCCGAAAACCTTATCGAACAGAGTTTAGGTTGAATCGTCGCAGTTGCACAGTTGCTTTTTAGGCAGAGCCTTAGTAATCTGCAGCTTGACAACCTGAACCCCTCTACTTCTACCGTCCTGCGGAGCCAAACCCATCCGCGGTTTCGGGTCTATCGAATATCGGCCTTGGGGGTCCCGAAACACCCCAAGAGACATCTCTTAGCATGCCCTCTTCATCGGGCTCGGGCTTGGCTACTACATGTCCCTTCGCTCGAATCTTGAACAACCACCAATCTTGCCTAATTACTCCCCCATGAGAAACCAGAGATTTATATGTATATGTTTATGTATGATTGTGTGTGTTGCGTATCTGAATGTTTGGCGGACCTCCTTTGCTTTCATCTTCAGGGGAAGTAACCCCTTGACAAGATCCCTAGATCCCCACAAATGCTTCTGGCTAGGAAGCAAAAACGGCAGCCCCATTACGCAAACCCTAAACCCCACACCCTGCACCCTGAACCCGGAACCCTCACATGACATGTCGTTCAGATCAGCTGCGCTGGTCGTAGGTGCCGGAGTCATGCCAAGCAAGGCGAATAAGGATCGGCGCGCAGTTCTGCTCGTTGATGAACCTTTGGGTCGCTGGGGTTTGGGTCCATGGTAGCGTTCAGGTTTAGGGTCCAGGGGAGTAGAGTGTTCGTTTACGCTTGAGAGTAGTGACTAGGTCTCGGTAAGGCTAGGGGATGCGCAGGCCCCGTGAATCTTAATTGTAAGTTTCTTTAACCAGAAGACTGTTCATGCATGCACGAATGCACTGGAGTCTTTTCGCCCAACTAGATACGGCTCCTGACCCTGGCAAACATTGTAGGGTTTAGGCGTTTAGGGTTCAGAGTTTAGGGTCGGCCGCGTGCGCGTGCTCAAGCCGTAGGTTCTATCGACAGGGGATGACCTAGGAGTTCCTCCAGGGATGATTTTAGTCAAGTGGATCATCTCTGGGTGCACTGTGCAATTTCAGTAGGTTTTTGAGATGCTGTGCTGGGGCAGAGTTTGGAGAGTATGTTATGCTACAGCTTTATGCGTGCTACAAGAGAATAGTGTTGGTAATTCAGGCGTTTACCAGCTGAAGCCCTTCGTGAGAATGCTCCACTGAGCATGTGATATTTGCAAAACCCACATGAATGCACTTAAGCCCTTAGCACATCCTCAGCCTAAAGCAAGCTCAAATGATGAGCCTAGAGTTCCAACTCGACAGCAATAATAACTTTATCGGTAGCACTTACGGCTGAAACGGCAAGAAGAACTTGTGGCTTGTTAGCATGGAAAAGAGGATACCATCATACTGTCGTGGATTGTATACAGACTACTGCAGGGGTTCCCCTAAACCCTAAACCCTGAGTTTTTCGGGTCTAGGGTTTAGGGTTTAGGGTTACTGGCGGCGGCACTTCAGACCTTGGACTACCAATCCAAAGCTTGAGCCCCAAATGACGCATCCTAAACCCAGAACCCTAATGCACAATCCCTCCACCTAATCCCTGAACCCTAGCCCAAACCCATGATCCCCGAAACCCTAGAAATGCTGAGCCGCGGGGCTGTTTCAAGTCCTCCCTGCACGCCTTTAGCTGCTTGACCCACTCCTCACGGGGAACATGCGCGAGGCTAAAGGGGCTTCAATGGTGGGCTCTAAGGGTGTGGGGTCGAGGATGTAGGCAGATGGGTTTAGTTTTAGAGGTTCAGGATGGGGGTTCAAGGGCGGGGGGGTAAGAGTCAAGGGTTTGGGGGTAGGGTTCAAGGGTTTAGGCAGTAGGGTTGAAGGTCTTCAGGGCTTAGATAGTGCTTGGGTGTTTCTAGAAATGGTATTAAACATGAACATTTTTGAAAGTCGACTCTATAGACTCTCGAGTCATAATATTTGCAGAAGTAGATTTAAGCTAATCTTCTTACTACAAAATTCTTTGTGTGAAGAGATAAGGAGAAAGCTCATAGTTCGAACATACCTTTGTCTTGAAGGATGATCTATATCTTGTTAGTCCCACGTTTGAGCTAAGAAATTCTAATCTCAGCGTTTAGGGTTCAGGGTCAGATCCTAAAATAGCTGCGGGCCATGATCAGGGCATTGATTTTTAGAAATCCCTCGGCCGGACCAAGCTCACAATCAAAAAAAATGCGTTCTATCTTGCTAGCTTGGAGTTTAGGGTTTCGGGTTTCGTGATTTAGGGTTTAGGGGTTTAGGGTTTAGAGTAGGTTAAAGGTCAGGGAATGGCGGAAGGGCGATTGACTTTTGATAGTTTTATACTGGATTAGAATGGGAGTATTGGAAGGATCCACCGATCCCCCTGTAAAGCAGAAGTAAGCCGTTGCGCCTAAGTATCACTTTGGTCCCATCCATGAACCATTTACCCTTCTTAAAAAACTTTGGAATTCTGTACGGGACCCAAGATTATCCCCATGAACTCCCTTGTTCACTAAACCCTAAACCCTTTTTCCCTAAACCTGCGTTCATACAGTGATCAAAAACCATCCTAACCTCATGAGTTTTGAAATGTGTATACCCATCTTTCTCACGCATGGCTCACACTCCGCTCTACGCCCTTAAGCCGGAATCCTTGCATCCCCGAGCCCTGAGCCTCTAAACTCCACTTCCCCGATCCTGAACCATAAATGTTGCCCCAAAACCCCAAACCCTACACCCTGTTAACCCTAAACCCACACGCTAACCAGGAGCTTCAAATCCGACACCATGAGAGATATACTCCGACTCCTCATTTCCACCGGCGCAGGACTGCGTCTCAAGGGACGAGCGCACCTGCGCAGGGGCTTTGTATGTCACGGGCTTTGCTACTTCAGGGTTTCGAGGCGTAGATCTTTGAGCAATCGCTTGTTGCCACATGACAACTCAAGGAACGATAACGTGTGAACAGAACAGTCCGGCTGCTTCAGTACGACCGTGACGACAGCAAAGCAAAAGGAAACAACTACGTTCTACATGGAAGGACTGGGCACATTCAGACCAGACGCATAAAACTAAGATGCTTTTGTTGTCTGAAGCCAAATACGACAACCAACAAGACAACATCATCTTACTTTAAACAGGGGACAGCCTCCCCAAAACAAACACCATTGAATCGCAACCATGATACCCAATCCAAATCTGAGGCAGGAAGATGCTGGTTTTGACATCTCGAGCGGGGAGGTGAACAAATCCGTGCGGGCGTCTGAAAAAGGAAGCAGAACCCAAAAACTCAGACCTTAAACCCTAAACCCTAACCCCTAATCTCTAAACCCTAATCCCTAAACCCTAGAGCCTAAACCCTAATGCCTGTGTGAAGAAGTTGGCCAGGCGCCACATGGCGGGCCGCACTACTTGCCCTACGGCGCTCCTTGCAAAGCCTTGAGACGCTGCAGCAGCGAAACTCTTGGGAGGCCCTTGGTCTATCATATGGCTAATGGTTTGCTTCTGTTGTGTCCACAAGTAGACACTGCAAGTTTGTGTGTATATATACATATACATATATAAATGGCGTGTATGTATACCCATTAAAGCTGAATCTGCGCTGGACCCTCTCAAGAAATTCTGTTAGCTGTTTGCTAGAACTTTCAAATCAAACGCCAAAAATGATTTTAGGACATTGCTCGAATGTATATGCTAGTATTCCCAATGACCCATGTGAAAACAATGCCAGAACCTTGATCAAATCCAATGTTATAGGGAAATAAAGGTCCAGGGGTTGAGCCTCTCAATAATGTGTAGAAGCCAAGGGCAAAGAACCGACGCCCCCAGACCTACTCATGCCTGTCGGGGAAGGAGGAAATGGATCCGCTCACTATTCCTTTAATGATGCCTATAGCTAGAATAATGCCTTGAATAATGCCTTCACCCCTTCCCAAGTGAGCATGAGTAAGCGGAAGGACAGTCGTTCACATCTGGTTAGAGGAGCCACTGCTGCATGTGTGTCATTCGAACAGTATAGGGTGGGGGTGGAGGCTTGAAGCTTAGGGCTAGGGCTTGAGGGTTAAGGTGGGAGCTTTGGGTTGGGGCTTAGTAACCTCGGTAGGTGGATCTTACAGTGTTGCTTCCCTTTTGCAAGGTCATGGATTCTGCGCCAGTGTGGACGGAATCGTTGACTAAGGGGTCAGCTCCTCTCTTCAAGCCGGACAGTACGAATCCAGCACAGCCAGCCTGAATCCCCAACCCCCTAAGCTTCATGTGAGGCCTGAGCCCAAAACCTAAAGCCTAACAGAATATCCTGGGCTCCGTGCGTACTTCTTGGACTGTGACAGCAGATCCTGGTTGATAAGCGTGTGGTGATTCTTCGATAGGCGTTCAAAAAACACTCAAAACATGGGCTCCACGTGTATGGAAACACGGCAGGAGAAACGAACTAGGTAGGCGCAGTAGGAAACGCGAGTGTTATCTATCGCAGGAATGAAAAGAAATCATAGGATGTTATCTCTCAATATGCCTTCGATTTCCCCGGATAGTTTGGCAACCTCCCTGACGGCACTTCTTTGGATTTGTATGCGTCTGAGGGCATGCTAGTGTGCTTCGTCGAAAAATCTGACTTCAATTCTCCAAGTCGGGGCGCTCCGTCTCCGGGTTGGGAGGATTTAGGGTTTAAGGATTTAGGGCATGAAATGTAAGATGTAGGCTGTAGAGATATGGTGCTTTGCGGGTCTGAAGTCTTTGAAGATGTCTTCGTTGGGATTTCAAAGCTTCAAGGCATCGACCGCAAGCCCTTGACCCTAGGTAGCGTTGAGGGTTTAGGGTTGAGGGCCCTAAACTCCAGACTCTGAACCCTAAATCCTGAACTCTGACCCCCTAAATCCTAAACTCTAAACCTACATCCTGAACCCTAAACCTCTAAACCCTGAATCCTAAACCCTAAATCACCCTCAACGGCGTCCTTGTTCAAGGCATAGAGCGTGGAGAATTTCAGGCCCAGGGCCTTGGCCTCCGTGAAGCCTTCACCTCAGAAAGGCTTTGCGTGTGTGTTGCTGTTAGGGAGCAGGTTTTAGGGTTTAGGGTCTAGGGTCTAGGGTTTAGGGTTTAGGGTCTAGGGTTTAGAGTCTAGGGTTCAGGGTTTTGGGCTGTTAAGGAACTTAAATGAGGTCACCATTGTATGGGTACAAGGGCTTAGGGTCCCAGAATATAGGTATATAGCAATTAATAGGGTTTCCTTGTTACGGGAAGCCAAAATCCCTGCCTCCCTGCCCCACACACAATTGGGTTGCTGTTAAGTTCCTTAACAGCAACCCAATTATGTGTGGAGGGATTTTGGCTTCAAGGGATAGACAGCGTTTAAGGCCTATAGAGGTGTAGGGCTTAGGATGTAGGGTCCGTAAAGGAGGGTCTAAAAGGTTTTAGGAGTCTATGGGGTAATTGACCTCCTTTAGGGTTTAGGATGGGATGAAAGCATGGCTTGCAGGGTCACTCCCGCAGAAATTCTGTCAAGATGAACACCTCTTCCGCACCTGAAGCCTCACCTCTGATCAGTTGAAGGTGATATTTCCGCCTTACGAAGTTCTACATGCTTTGGGTTCGAGCGCATACCCTCAAACTCGGCAATGCAAAGACCACAAATGCGGATCCGCAGCTGCCAATTGAAACCTATTATAAATCCTATCCCACAAATCCATACGCTCGTGTCAGGGGTACTCGCAAAGATTATATGAGCCATAGTCTAAACTCCTAGTATTCCCCTGATTAAGCCCCATAAGATTCCCGCACTTAATCTGCCATATAAACCCGCCACATAGGCCCCTTGAAGGAGTTTAGACTTAGACCCTAAGCCCCAAACCCTAAACCCCAAACCTTCAACCCTTAACCCTACACCCTAAATCCCACAGATCTATAACCCCCTTTAAGGAACTTAGACTATAGCTCATACCTGGGATCCTCCTGTTCTATAGCCCAGGAAACCCCTGAGCTTAGAGACCTACTACATGCAGGCACCAAAACATGAGGTTGGGTTCAGGGTTTAGGGTTTCGGGTTTAGGATGGTTTAGTGTTTAGGGTCCAAAAATCATATCTGTCCCCCAAGACATTTAGGCCCTAAACCCTAAACCTTATATAGTCCCCTATATAACCCCCCTCTAAGGAGTTTAGACTATGGGTTAAATATAAAAAAAGGGGGAGGTTTGCCAAGTTTTGTAGACTTCTCGATTTGGGCACACTGTGGACCCTGCGGTTCTCCGTTCGTGACAGGGTTTAGGGTTTAGGGTCCTCTATACCATACCGCTGTTTTTCAGAATGCCTAACTTTTATGTCCAGTACCTCCTGTATACAAAATTAGGTACCCTCAGAAAAGGGGCGTCGTCCCCCTTAAGTAGATAGAATATGGGTTTGGGTATATTAAAATATGATCCCCATGTACCCCATGTTCTATCCACTTGAAGGGGACTATACCCTAAACCCTAAACTCAAACCCTAAACCCTAAAATCCCTTGACCCTTCAAGGGGGACTTAAATAAGGAGGTAGGTCATAGAGGTCTACAGATGCCCTTCCCGCAAACAAACGTGGAAAGACCAAATAGGGGATAATGGAAAAGAACATGGAAACTACTATGGTACATTGGGGTAATGTTGGGATTATATGGGGAGAATGGAAAATAAAATGGAAACTACTACACCAGCCATAATAAGATAGATGGATTGTCTTTATCAGGGCCCCCTTTGGGCCTCCGTGTTTGGCTTTGGGGGGGATTTTAGGGTTTCATAGTTTGGGCCTAGGGTTTCATAGTCTGGTAGTATACGTAAAAATACATCAATAGATTCATAAGCCCTTACTTGGGAGCCGTCCGTAGCTGCCTTGGCGGAGGTGTTGACGCGACTCGCCGCCACGATTGCCTTCAGCTTTGGCGCTAAAGGGCTTTGGAACATCTTTGGCCCCAAGCTATAAACTCATCCCTTTTTGGGATGCTGTTTGCAACATGAACGCCTACATTCCTGGTTGAGAAAAATATCACTCTTCTTCAGCAATGACCCAATGAAGCTGAGACCCGGACTAAGCCCTGAACACGACAGGATTTGAGGTTCAGTGTTTAGAACATCAGGAGAGGCTGGGAATACTTGAGAATCATAAGCCCTAAACCCTGAACCCTGGGAATACTTGAAGGCGTGCCAGGTCCCAACAGAAGATCAGAATGTGTATGCTATGTATATACATACACACACATATAGAGAAAGATGGAGGGTTTAGGCTTTATGTATCTCAGGCCTAAACAAAACACCTAGGACTGATGATTCTTTACCCCTATATATGTATATGTACCCTATTATAATATAGTAGTTTCCATTTTATTTTCCATTATCCCAATATTACCCCATAACTTAAGATTTCAGCGCCCAACCCCGCACTAAATCACTCCCAGGCGCCATGGCGGTATCCAGCTCATCAGCGCAGGTCATGATCACATCCTAAGATGTCTGGGGTTTAGGGTCTAGGGTCTAGGGTTTAGGGTTTAGGGTTCAGGGTTGACAGTTGAGGGGGTCTTGTCCAAAGGATTGGGTGTAGACTTAATATCCGTCAAGGTATACTAAGGAGACTCCGAAAAAGCCCCGAACCCAAAGGATCTGACCCTGAACCCTAAACCCTAAATCCTAAGCCCTAAAACCCTAAAACCTATAACATGAAAATCTTAGACCCTATAACCCTATAACCCCAAACCCTAAAACAGCAGAGCAGCCGGCTCCTTTGCAACGACTCTTTGCATTGCCAGGAGCATCTCATAACCATCCGTGGTGGAGTTCCTTGGTTTTTCCATGAGTGTAGGGATTACGGTTTAGGGATTTCGGGGTTTACAGTT